GGGGGGGCCCCAGCGGGGGTCCCGGGGGGCTCCGGGCCGGGGGGGGTCCCGGGCGCGCCCCCCCCCAGCAGCGCGGCCGGCACGGAGCAGGGGCACTGCTGGGGCTGAGCCGGGGGTGGGGGGCGCCCGGGGGGCACCCACAGACCCCAAACTACTGCAAACCACCCCAAGCACACAGCCAGGGACCCCAAAGCACAGAGCCAGAGACCCCAAACCCCAAAGCACAGAGCCAGAGACCCCAAACCCCAAAGCACAGAGCCAGAGACCCCAAACCACAGACCCAGGGACCCCATGAACCCCCCCCAACTGCTCCGGCAGGCACCCACCACCCTGGGGGGCACCCACGGGGCGCCCACTACCACCCTGAAGCACCTTGGGGACCCCCCACTGCCCCAGGGGTCCCTCACCCCTTCCCGTGATCCTCCCGACCCCGGGACCCCCCTGCCGGGGGAGCCCCCGTAGCCCAGGGAACCCCCACCCCCAGGACACCCCCACAAACGGGATCCCCCACCCCGGGACCCCCGACCACCCTGAGGGGCACCCGTGGAGCTGTGGACCCCACCCTAAACCCCAAATCCCCCCCCACCCCCTTCATTCCCACCCCAGGATTTGGGGGCAGCCCCCCGGGGGTCGCGCGGGGGTCTCACCTGCAGGCAGGTGCGGCGGTGCAGGAGGGTGCCGGGGGGGCAGTGACAGCCCTCCTGGCACCCCCCCGCGCACCCCACGGCCCCCCCAAGGTGGGCGCAGCTCCGGGGACACCCCGAGCCCCCCCCGCACTCCCGGAAGGTCCGGCCCGGGGGGCAGCCGGCCTCTGCACCCCCGAAAAAACGCTCAGTGCCTGGGGGGCAGCCGGCCTCCCCCCCAAAAACACCCCTGAGCACCCCGGGGGCACCCGGCCTGTGCCCCCCAACACCCCCGGCCCCATGGTCTGTGGGGCTCTGGGGGGCTGTGGGGCAGGGCTGGGGGCTCTGGGGGGCTGTGGGGCAGGACAGGGCAGGGCTGTGCTCGGGGGCTCTGGGTGACATCTCTGGGTGACAGTGTCTGGGTCGGGGTCCTTCTCTCGGTGTCCCTATCTCGGGGTCCCTGTCGGTGTCCCTGTCGCGCTGCCCGTGTCGGTGTCCCTGTGTCGGTGTCCCTATGGGTGTCCCTGTGGGTGTCCCTGTCCGTGTCCCCGTGGCGGTGTCCCTGTGTCGGTGTCCCTATGGGTGTCCCTGTGGGTGTCCCTGTGGGTGTCCCTGTCCGTGTCCCCCTGTCCGTGTCCCCGTGGCGGTGTCCCCGTGGCGGTGTCCCCGTGGCACTCACCGCGGCACACGTGGCTGTGGCAGCTCTGGCTCTGCAGCGCCGGCCCCGGGCACGGGGGGGTCCCGCAGCCCCGGCGGCGCCAGCGCTCGCCCCCCCCGCACGGAGCGCTGCAGCCGCCCCAGGGCCCCCACGGCGACCACCGGCCACGGGCGGCGACCGGGGACTCCGGGGACCCCGAGGGCTCGGGGGGCTCCAGGGGCTCCGGGGACTCCGGGGGCTCGGGGGGCTCCAGGGGCTCCGGGGACTCTGGGGACCCCGGGGGCTCGGGGGTCTCCGGGGACTCCGAGGGCTCGGGGGTCTCTGTGCCCCACGCCGGCTCCAGGGACCCCGGCTCCCAGGGCAGCTCCGTGCCCCACGCGGGCTCCAGCGCCCACGGCGACCCCGGGGACTCCGCGCTCCCTGTGCCCCCCGGTGGCCGTGGGGACCCCCGGGGCCAGGGCGCCTCGGTGGCCCCAGGTGGCGCCGCGCTGCCGGGCTCTGGGGACAGACGGACACGAGGGGCTCGAGGGGCCGCGGCGGCACCCGGGGGTCCCAGCTCCGCGGGTCGGGGGATCCTGGCACGTACCGGGTCCGCAGAGCTCGGGACAGCCCCGGACCTCCCGGGGGGGCCCGGTGCAGGGGGCACCGCCCGCCGCGGCCGCGGGGTTGGTGGGAGACCTGTGGGGAGTGGGGAGTGGGGCACGACCCCCCGCTATGGGGCAGGACCCCCGCTATGGGGCAGATGCCCCCATTATGAGTAAGGTCCCCCCGTTATAGGTTAGGACCCCCCCGCTATGGATCAGACCCCCCCATTATGAGTCAGACAGCCCCATTATGGGTCAGACCCCCCCGTTATGGGTCAGACCCCCCCGTTATGGGTCAGGACCCCCCGCCATGGGGCCGCCCCTCACCTGAAGCGCTGCCGGGTCCCGGTGCCGCAGTCACAGCGGGTCCAGGGGGTCCAGCGCGACCACCCGCAGGGTTCGGGGGGGCCCCGACTGCCGGGGACCCCCATCACCCCCGCGGGGACCCCGCAGGCGCTGGGGGGAACAGGAGCGTCACTCCAACCCCGGGGAGCCCCCAGGAGCCCCCCAGTGTTCGGGGTCCCATGTCCTGGGGACCCCCAGCGCCGGGTTCGGGGCACAGCTGGCTTTGGGGTGCGGGAGGGGTTTGGGGTGCTGAGGTGTCCGGGGTGCGGCGGGGTTTTGGGGTACCTGGGCTCGATGCAGGCGCTCCCCTGCAGCACCAGCCCGGGCGGGCACCGGCAGCCTGGGGGTGGGGGCGTTCGGGGGGGCTTCAGCCCCTGGACCCCTCCCGACGCCCCCTAAACCCCCCCATCCCCACCCCCAGACTGCTCTGTGACCCCTCCCCAAGTTCCCAGGGACGGGGGAGGCCATTGCAGCAGTCAGGATGGAGGGGCTGGGGGACTTTGGGGATTTTGGGGGTCTGGGGGCTCGGGGGGTCCAGGGGGGATTCAGGGAGGGGCGGTGGTGGCGTTTAGGGACGGGGAACGATGGAGGGGTGTCCCCGGCCCCCCGTGCCCCCGTACCTGGGGGGTCCCCGCAAGGCCGCAGGTTGCAGGGCCGGCTCTGCAGGGCCCCTCCCTCGCACGGCCGCCCCCCGTTTTTTGGGGGGGGGTCGCTGCAGCTGCGGCGGCGGCTCTGCTGCCCCCCCCCGCACGGGGCCTCGCAGGCGCTCCAGGACCCCCAGGGCGCCCACCCGCCCGCCACTGGGGGGGCACGGGGCGGTCAGGGGGGTCGGCACCCCCACACCGCCCCGGGACCCCCGGCACCCCCTCACCCAGAGTGCCCCCCTTGGAGACCCCCGAGGATCCCCCTCGGCCGGGGGGGGTCCCAGGCCTTGGGGAGGTGCCGGACTCGGGGGGTCCCAGCCCGGACACGGGGATCGGCCCCACCCCCGCAGAGCCCAGACCCCCGGGGGTCCCACCCCATAAAGGGGTCCCGGCCCTGCTGGGGGTTCCAGGGCCCCCCCTGATGGGGGTCTCAGCCCGGGCAGGTTTAGGGGTGCCTGGGCAGGCTAGGGGGGTTTGGGGGTACCCGGGCAGGGTCAGGGGGGTTTGGGGGTACCTGGGCAGGCTCGCAGGAAGCAGACGCGGGTGTCGGTGTCGGGGGGGTGGGTGCAGCCCCCCTCGGGCGGGGTCTCCCTCCGGCGGCGCAGGGCGACCCCCACCCCGCAGGAGCGGCTGCAGGACCCCCACCCCCCCCAGGGCGGGGGGGCGCAGCCTGGGGGACGCGGGGTGGGGGCAGGGTGACCCCCGTGTTTCGGGGGCGCACCCTGCAGCCCCCCAGCCCCGGTGGTCCCGCTGCTGGAGCCCCGCACCCCCCGGGGGGGTCTCGGGACCCGTCCCCCCTGCACCCCCCAGTCCGGGGGGGCCGTTCTGGGGGGGCCTTTCCCCTTTCCTCACCTGGGAGGGTCGCGGGGACCCCCGTGGGAGCCAGCGGGGACAGCTCCGGCTCGTGGGGGGTCGCGGAGCCCCCGGGGGGGCTCGGGGTGTCCTCGGGCGGGGTCGCGGTTCCGGGGGGCTCTGGGGAGGTCTGGGTGCCTCTGGGCCCCTCGGGCCCGGCCGTGGGGCTGGAGGGGGCGCGGTGAGGGAGGGGGGCAGCGGGGGCGCCCCCAGTGCCCCCCCGCGGGCTTTGGGGACCCCCAGACCCCGGCGCTCCCCCCGCGCCCCTCATACCCGGGGCTGCCGGGGGGGGACAGCGCCGTCGTCATCCCGGGCGGGGTGGCCGTGGCGTTGTCACCTGCAGCGCGGAGGGCACGAGGGGATGGGGGTCACCTGCTGCCCTGGTCCCCTCCCCGGGGCCCCCCGGGACCCCCGACTCACCCGCGGGGCCGCAGGAGCAGCAGGAGCCGCCGTGCCCCTCCCGCAGCGCCTGGCCCTGGGGACACGGGGCCGGGTTCGAGGGGCTGCGGAAGGACCACTGCACGCCCGGGGCCCCGCAGCCGCCCCCGCACGGCCCCCACGGCGACCACGAGGACCACCCGCAGTCCACTGTGGGGACACCGGGTCACCCGGGAGCCCCGGGCACCGGGGGAGCCCCGGGCGGCGCCGCGGGGACAGCGAGGGGACAGCCAGGGGTCCCGTTGGTGACACCGCGGGGACAGCCAGGGGTCCCGTCAGTGACACCGCGGGGACAGCGGAAGCGGAGACCGCGGCGGGACCCACCTGAGCAGCCGGGGTGGGGGCGGCAGTGGCGCAGCTGCCCCTCCAGGCAGGTGCAGAGGCGGCAGCCGAGCGGCACCGGCGCTCCCGGCGGGTAGCGGCGGCCCCCGGCCCCGCACGGGCACTGCCGCGGCCGCACGCACCGCGCGGGGCCCGCGTCCAGCACCCGCCCCGCCGGGCACCAGCACCCTGCGGGCGGGGGGCGTCGAACCCCCTCGAACCCCCCGAACCCCCCGGCCCCCCCGTCCGCGGGACCCCGCTGACCCGGGCAGGCCCGGTGGAAGCACGGCCTCTCCTGCTGGCGCGGCCCGCGGCAGCCCCGCAGCAGCCCCGGGTGCCGCTGGTGACACCCCCGGGCGCGGCGCTGCCCCCCGGGCCCGCAGGGGCGGCTGCACGACCCCCAGGGCCCCCAGGGCCCCCAGAGGCCGCAGCCGCGCTCGTCCCCGGCCGAGCCGCAGTCCCGCCGCCCGTCACACACCTGCGGGGACACCGCGGCCGGAGGGGACACTGCGGGGACACTGCGGGACACCGGGCAGGGACACCGGGAGCGGGCTGGGGGACACTGAAGTGGCACTGAAAGGGGTCATGGGACGCCAGGACACCGAGGTGACACCGGCAAGGGGCGAGGGGAGTCAGCGACACCGGGAGGGGGCGTCGGGAGGGGCCAGGGGACAGCGGGGGTGGCACCGACAGGGAGTCGGGGACATCGCGGGAATGCCCGAGGGACCATGGCGGTGGCACCGGGAGGGGCAGGGGACAGCTGGGTGTCCCTGGAAGGGGGTCGGGGACACGCTGGGACACGGCGGTGGCCGCAGGAGGGATCAGGGGCTCCGTGATGGCACCGGAGGGGCCGGGGACCCGCGGTGGCCCGGCGGGTGGCGGTGCCCGTGTCCCCGTACCTGGTGGAAGGTGACACACTCCCCGTCCCCGCAGTCGAACTCTGCGCAGGGACCCCGCGGGCTGCTCCCGGGCCCGGGGGGCTCTGGGGGGGCACGAGGGCTCTCAGGGGTCCCCAGGGGGCTCAGAGCACCCCGAGATCGCCCCCTCAGCCCTCGGGTCCCCAGGGACGGCTCCGGGGGTCTCACCGCACAGCCGGGGGCTCTCGTCGGCGCTGTCGCGACAGTCGGGGACGCCGTCGCACAGGCGGCCCGGGGCGACGCAGGCGGGGCCGCAGGGCAGGTGGCCGGGGGCGCACGGGGGGTCGCAGCCTCCCTCGTCGCTGCCGTCGGGACAGTCGCTGTCGCCGTCGCAGCGCCACCCCCGCGGGACGCAGCCGCCGCTGCCGCAGCGCAGGGAGCGGGGCGGACACGGCGCTGCCGGGGCGGCGGTGACAGTAGCGGGGACAGCGGCGGTGTCACTGACAGTGACAGCGCTGCCGACAGGGCCGATGGCGCTGGTGACCGCCATGGCAGTGTCGGCGGTGACAGCGTCGGCGACAATGCCGGTGACAGCGGTGACAGTGGCGGTGGCAGCAATGACAGTGGCGGTGGCAGCGTCGGCGACAATGCCGGTGACAGCGGTGGCAGCGGCGGTGGCAGCGGTGGCAGCGGCGGTGGCAGCAGTGACAGTGGCGGTGGCAGCAGTGGCAGTGGCGGTGGCAGCAGTGGCAGGTGACAGCGGCGCGGGGGGCAGCGCCACCGCGCACCCCGCCGGACTCTCGTCCCAGCCGTCGCGACAGTCGCGAGCGCCGTCGCACACGGCCACCTCGGGCACGCAGGAGCCGTCGGGGCACGGCACGGTGCCGGGGGCGCAGGTGGCCCGCGCTGGGGACACGGGGACAGCGGTGACACCGCGGCGGAGCGGGGTCCAGGGGGGGCTCCCAGGGTGGGAGGGGGTCCCGGGGGGTCCTGGGTGAGGAGGTCACGGGGTGGGGGCCCCAGAGGGGCTCTGGTGGGAGGGTCCCGGGCTGGTCCCCAGGGTGGGGGGTCCCAGGTGGGGGTCCCCGGTGGGACAGCGCCAGGCCAGAGGGTCCGGGGGTTATGGGGGGGTCCCAGTCGGGGTTCCTAGGGCGGGGATCCCCCCCGCGCCCCTCACCCGGACAATTGGCCTCGTCGGCGCCGTCGGGGCAGTGGCGGCGGCCGTCGCAGATGGCGGCGGGGGGCTGGCAGCCCCCCCCGGGGCACGGCAGGTGCCCCTCGGGGCAGGCGCAGCCGCTCTCGTCGCTGCCGTCCCCGCAGTCGTCGCGGCCGTCGCAGCGGTGGGGGTAGGGGACACAGCGGCCCCCCCCGCACCGGAACTGCCCCGGGCCGCAGCGGGGGGCGCAGCCTGCGGGACGGGACCCCCGGGTGGGCGCGGACACCCCGACCTGGGCACCGGCACCCCGCGGGGCACAGACGGCTTCTGGGGGGGTCCCGAGCAGCGCCACCCCCGCACCTCCAGATGGGGGCACAGACCCCCAGGGCTGGGGGGCTCAGGGACCCCAATGTGGAGCACAGACCCCCAGGGTTTGGGGGCTCAGGGACCCTCAATGTGGGACACAGACCCCCAGGGCTGGGGGCCTCAGGGATCTTCAGTGTGGGCACAGACCCCCAGGGTTTGGGACCCTCAGTGTGAGGCACAGACCCCCAGGGTTTGGGGGCTCACGGACCCCATTGTCGGGCACACACCTCCAGGGCTCTCTATTTCCCCAGGACCCCAAAACTCCCTGCAGCCCCCCACTCCCAGGACCCCCGAGCCCCCCGGTGCTCACTCACCCGCCTCGTCCGAGTCGTCCCCGGGGGGACAGTCGAGCCGGCCGTCGCAGAGCCGCGCGGGGGGCAGGCAGCGACCCCCGGCACAGGCGAACTCGGGGGGCGCGCAGGCCCGGGCCGGACACCCCGCCTCGTCCCAGCCGTCGGGGCAGTGGGTGACGCCGTCGCAGCGCGCCCCCCAGGGCAGGCAGCGCCCGCCGGGGCAGCGCGGCTGCTGGGGGGCGCAGGGGGGGTCGCACAGCTCGTCCGAGCCGTCGCCGCAGTCGTCCTCGTTGTCGCAGAGCCAGGCCCCCGGCACGCAGAGACCCCCGCCCCGGCAGCGGAACTCCCACGGGGCGCAGCCGGGGGCGGCGGGGCACGGGCCGGGGCTCGGGGGGCACCGCCAGCGCCCCCCCAGGCACGTGCTGGGGGCGGGACACCGGCGGCACTCACACGGGGCCGGGGGTCCCGCGTCCCAGTGTCCCCACCCCGCTGTCCCCTGTCCCAGTGTCCTGGGGTCCTGGGGTCCAGGTGTCCCAGCGTCCCAAATCTCAGTGTCTTCGTGTCCTGGTGTCCCAATGTCCCGGGAACCCAGGATCCCAAGATCCCATTTCCCCGGTGTCTCTGTGTCCCGCTGTCCCGCTGTCCCGCTGTCCCGCTGTCCCGCTGTCCCCCTGTCCCGCTGTCCCATGTCCCGCTGTCCCGCAGCCGTGCCCGGCTCCCAGTACGGACCAGCGCTCACCAGTTGCTGCAGCCCTGGGTCACGGAGCTCCCGGCGGGGAAGGCGAAGCCGTCCCAAAAGCAGGGGCAGGCGGGGGGCTCCACGCACAGCCCGTCTGCGGGGGGCACGGGGGTGGCACCGCGACCCCAGCCCCCCCCCAGCCCCCCAAACCTCCCGTGTCCCCCCAGCCCCCGCGCTGTGCCCCCCTCACCGTGCAGGAGCCGCCCGGGGGGGCAGAAGCAGCCCTCGAGGCACCCCAGGGCCCCGCACAGCTCGGGGGGGTCCCGGCCGAGGTCGCGGCAGGTGGGGGGGCAGGGGGGGCCGCACGGGCTGTACTCCTGCCCCCCCTCGCACTGCAGGGCTGCAGAGATTGGGGGGGTTAGGGGGCTGGAGCCCCCCACTCCACAGCCGGGGACCCCCAAAACGCCACTGCACCCCCAGACCCATTGCCCGGTCCCCACCCCCGGCACATCCCAGCGGGGGCTCAGCCCGGACCTCCCTGTGCCCCCGGGCCCCCCCCGGGACCCCCCCGGACTCTCCTGAGCGCCCCCAGACTCACAGCACAGCCCCAGCTCTGCCAGAGCAGGGGGCGGCAGTGGCGCAG